CCTACCTCTTTCGTGTTGAGAACATGTTTAAACTTTAGAACGAGATCGCTGACAGTTGAGTGGTCGCCTCATCTTTATCTAATAAATAGCGGGGGTAAATTAAAAGGTAAGAAGAGAAAGGGGAATGATAGAGGGCGATCACCCAAACTGTTATCTCTTTCTAAAGTTTGTAAACTGCTTCAGCCAAACGCGCAGTCTATATATTATACGTCTATGACACGAACGAAACGACAAATAACAAAGTACGAATGATAAACTGCGAATCACGAATGGTAAACAATAACGAATGTCCAACGAATTTCCGCGAATCACAAATCACGAATCGCGCATTACAAATTGCGCATGGTGTAGCTTTACAGATATCGAGAGATGGCCGTGTTAAAACATCGTTAAAATACTTAATTTACTTATTACAATTAATTGTCATTTTAATGGCATTTATTTTGTTTAATTGTAATAAAAAATTATATATGTTTAACGAATCATTATGGCGCTCTTCTGCAGGTTAAAGATTCGTATATCAACCGACCTTTTAACGATGGAACAACATGCGTATTATTAAAAAATTCTCTATTAGCCGTAAACGCAATTCTAGATTTACATCGCTTATAAGCGGTCACTGCGTTGTTCTGCCAATCTGATCAATCTGTCACATCGGTATTAGGCAATTAAATAAGAAATTTTACAATCACTTGGCGATAATAACTGCCATAATTGGAAATTGTGTTATATCGCTGTGTGTTTAGTAGTCTAGGCGACGCCTATAATAAAAGCCTCCCATATAAATTTTGTATATAATGTCCTCACCGCGGGAGGATCACTATAAACTTTAGCTCCGATTCGTATGGTAACCCCAACAGAAACTCCTGCGTGTTAAATTATTTAATAATTCACGTATATCGAAAGCGATTGGACTGCATTCCATGCGGTGTGCGGTCTATCGCGATTAGAAACGCATCGACATCGCTTCTTTACGCGACAATAAAATTATCGTAAAGTCTTCACGATAAAAACATGTTCTCTTAAATTGCTTTTCTCGAACCAATAATTTTGGATTAATACAAGTTTAAGCGGTGGATAATAAATTTCTCTTCCTTGATTAAATAATTTAATATTTATAATCGAGATATAATGTATTCTGTGCTGCGGGAAAAAATTGAATTAATTTTCAAATTAGATACGTTACAGGATCTATACAAATATTAAGGAGTGATATAAGCTTTTCGAAAATATCTACCGTCATTGTATGTTAATTAACTTGCATTGTATTGTACGAAACGTATATCACAATTATCGCTTCCTCTCAACGCTGATGCCACCTACACTCGGTAATTGCCGTTCACAAGGTATAATGTTAGACCTTGAGACTGCTTAGATTGTCCTATGCCCAGAAAAAAGTTTCTTCGAAATCAAACAAATTTTCTTTGAATTTTGACTTTAAGCTTTTATTTCATTTCAAAGAAATGATTTCTTTACCGTAACTAAATTTTAATTGTTTGACTGAGACTGGAACCTTTAGGAGAATTTACATTTGTTTCTTCTAATCTAGCCAATGTTTTAATAGAGATAAATAAAAATTTAGTACGCGGAGAGAATTGTCTAAAATTTATCCCGAAAATCATGTAATCATAGGACAGTGTGGCATTTTGAAGAATTGTATAAGAGTAATTATATAAAATTTCAAAAAAACTCATAAAATTCTTGAAAATGCTATGTCCCACGATTACTTGATTTTCAGGATAAATTTTAAGAAAAAATTCTCTCCGTGTGGATTCAAAGAAACGCGATTTCAACGTATCCCATTTGCTTGACCTAAATAAATCTTTTTTTCTGGGTGTAAGCGTTCATATTCTTTCCTTTTTGTCGATTGAAATAACGCAGCGAAGTTCGTACAGTTAATAATGGTCACTGTAAAAACGGACCGTGAAAATGTCCTGCCCCTCAGGATTCTGTAGTCGAGCATAATAAGAACAAGACTGAACAAATGTACCTATAGTGCAGCACTAGATGTAAGATAATTAATCACATTAATATCCTTCTTATCCGTTCGCACGCGGTCCTGCCGCGACAGACGTATTTGCGTAGCACTCGACATTCCGCGTGTATGTACATTAATTTCCCTCCCGAGGCTATCAAGACCGCCGGCAATTCTGAATCAATATCGGATTCTTTTCACGGGTCCGCGAGCGAAAAGTTAATTTTCCAGCGCGTTTTCAAGGCAAATGGCGTGGATGAATAAACGGCTCGGTAATGATTTAAATCCAGCGGCGCGTGGTCCTTCGTTAATCTTCCTCAAACTACCGACTAAAAGACTTCACCTCTGGCAAACGGTTAAGTTTTCTTATATTCCCACTAGTTCGGTAGGAAGCTGTTTTTCTCACGTGATTTCTTCCGATTTGCATACAGCTGTACGCGGGCAAACCGTCTCGGCAGATAAATTAAAAAGTGGACGATTCCGCGCCGCGGAATAACTCGCGGCGGTTTGCAAAGATCGCACACATAAGAAATTCAGTAAATTTGCAGAAAATCATTTCTTCCTCGTAGCTTAATAGTTCCGACGACTGTCACACTTCAGCGAAATGGCTCCGGCGCCGGAGTATAGTTTGATTAACGTTTACTACATTACGAAGTTGGAGTAAAAGTAAGTTTTACGCGTTTCCTTTTGACTGCAATTTAAGTTCATACCGTTACTTCATGTACGATTAATCGTCCGTCCTTTCAATTCGCCTCGTCCCCTCGTACGATTGGATCCCATCAGGATTGTCACTTTCGATTTTAGCTACGATCATATGCCAACCGTTAAAGTTAACACGACGATAACGTGGAACGCTGCGATAATAATACGAGACAGTCTCTCGTTACGAGATAGGCTTCTAATATGAGACAGCGAGTCGTCAACGACCAAGTCCAATCACAAATCTCTTTTTGCACCGATTGCACGATCTAACGATTAACTTTCCGCTAAACAACAACGGATCAGTTTAGTCGACCTTAACTGGCACTTGTTTAATAAATTAAAAAATATATATAGAACGTACGACGTTTCGACCATAGGTTTCGGTCCTTATCAAGCACAAATTCTTAAAAATTAATCGAGTCGTTGCAATATGTAATTGAACGGTAAAAAATTATAACAACGTTGAGTCATGATTATAAAATTAACGGCACAAAATAAAATATGTACACTGTCTACCATGGCCGGAGAGTGACTGCTAAACAGATTTCACTCCAATAAGTTCATAGCGGGATCAACAGACGATTATTTATTTAATAATCTTTTGTCTCATAATAGGGGACTCCCCTCTAAGTGCGCGTGAATGAACCATTGAAATTGAAGGAAAGGAAAACTCGCGTGACTTATATAATCATGAGAAAGAGTCGCTGTATGTTATGTAAAAAAAGTGAAGATCTTTAAAAGATGAATAGTGGATGCGGGAGATTTTTATTTTAGCTTCCCCGCGACGTTTCCGTCAAGTTTGATTCGAGATACTTTCCCATCGATGCCTTTTCTCCCGTTAACGCTTTAAAAAGTAATCGAATCGCGCGCTTAACGACATTAAATCCCCATTGCATTCGCGCCGTGCTCTCCGCTCAATTTTTAGGAAACTCCCCGCATGGTTAATAATTCGCATCGATACGGGGCATTTAGGTCCTTTGTTGACCGCGTCTGCTTCGTTAGTCCTGGCCTCCGCCCGTCCGCTCTCCGTAATACGAACCGGAATTCCTCCATATCTCACGGGCCAGCCGAAGATGTACGCGCGAGGCGCATACGTGACGCGTTCCGCCTTTCTTTTCGTCGGCTGTGCGTAATTTCGCCTCGTTAAGTCGATACAATAGGCGCTCTAATCCTATCCGTCCGACCGTTTTGCCCCGGATAAAAGGACGGAAATCGCGGCTGAATCACCGGATCCGACATACCGATCTTTCGTCGTGGAACAAGTTCGCCTCGGTAGTTTTTCCCACCTCGCGCATCGCGGCCGCTGCGTTGCTGCCCGCTTTTGAAAGGATCGACAGCAGGCGCGGTCATCGAACGGGGATCACCCTCGGCGCACCTCGAGCGTACATCTCGGCTACGATCATGAAATCGAACGACACGGAAGAGGAGCTCTCGCCTATCTGTATCCACCTTCTTTCCCAATCCTGAGCCGTGGCTTTATGGAGTCCCCTTAAGCGAAGCGCGCCTCCCAGACTCAGACCCCTATAACCATTCTCCCCAACTTCGACCCTTACGGCCGTGATCCGGGTGTGTTTGGAGAACGGATCGAGTCTGCGCTTGCTTTGTTTAAAACGCCGCGGAACTTGTCCTGAATCAACCTGTTTGACCCGCCCTCCGATTTCGACCGCGTAATGCGAACGGAGTCGTTTCTCCCGAAGGCGCCTCCCCCGTACCGCGTATTTACGAGGTACATTTGAACTTTTCAATTTCGGAACTGCGCGTATACACGCCTCTGGATCTGCTCGCGAGAAGAAGGAGGAGAGGACGAAGCGCGACTCTTGCGTAAACGTGCGCATTTCACGGTAAATTGGGTTTTTTTTTTTCGTTACGTTTGCTCGCGCAGGGGCTGCGTGAAACCGTATAAAATTCCGCTTCTCACTCGTACACAAAATTGCCCTTTGTACCTATTCACGCTTGAGATGAGATTCATTTCGATATTGAAATTATTGGCACCCCCCCCGGCACTTCTTTCTCCCCGTTAACGGACACGATTATAACCGGTGCGTGTTATCGAGCGTTAATTCCCTATTCGCGTCTTTCGCAGTAGGCGCACATTGTTTTTACAAATAGCCAACTCGAGCGTGCGATCGCGCCGGGGATTTCATCGAGTTGCGAGGAATTTCTTTCGGCGCATCGGGCCAGCATTCTTTATCTATTATTTCCGGAACGTGCTCGTAGAACGGCTGCGAGCTCGGGATTGAGTCGGGATTAAAAGAGCTCCAGTTAGAAGTAATCCAGCGGCTAAATCCACCGTATCGCACTGTTACGCGGCTCTGTTTCTTACCGGTGACGGCGATGAGGAGGACGCAAAGAAGCGACGCGGAACGGGTGGAACGCGCGCCTCGATATCTCGCGGCACTTGGCATGATGCTTCGATATGCTCTCTCTCTCTCTCTCTCTCTCTCGTCGTGATTACGCACTCATGTACACGCGCGCGCGCTCATTCACCCGTCACAGATCCGCCTTCATATTAACACTTTCGAGCGCCGACGAGATCCGTGGACGAGGAACGATCCACTGATTCAGACTCACTGCACTGTATATTCCTCGATATATATCGTTCCTTTCGCGTTTCTAATTTTTCATAGGATCGTTCGCGGTGAACTTGGAACGAGACGGCAATTACGAAATAAAAAGAAAAAATACGGACACCGAACTCGGGCGGGGGGGGCTCGGAGGGTCGCGCGGGTCGCGGGCCCCCTCGCGATCTCTCGACGACGACGACGGCGCGCACGGGGACAACGTAACGACGCGGAAGGTTCTCCGGTCGACGTACGAGCGGCTACTGAAGCTCCCGCCGCAAGCACGGCGAGCTTCCAGTGCGTCGACTCCGTCGTGCACCCGAAAGCTCCGTCCTCCAACTCGCTCCCGCGCTCAGCCCCGCGCGCCATTCTTCCTCTCTCGTTCGCGGCCTCTGTACCCCCCCCCCCCCGAGCCCTTCGTGGCCCGTCGATGGCTCCCTGTCGCACTCCCGCCGCCGTCTCTCTCCCTCTCTGTCTCGCCTCCTCCCGCCTCTCGCCCCCCTCACAGCCATTTTAGCGTCGTCGTCGCGATCAGGCGCGCCAGTGCGGGCTGCGCGCGCGAGGGAGCTTTCGCGTCCTAAAGCTGAAACGGGCGAGGAGCCGCGGGTAGGGGTGATTGATTGGCGCTGAAACTTCGCGACTGATTGAATCTTTTTTACGTTTCAATATCGATATCCCCGGGCCGGCGGACGGCGGAGAGCGAGAGAAGAAGGGCTCCGGGGGAGTAGGCGTCTTATATGCTCGCGAGTTTTCATTCTCGCGCCTTCCGTCACCCGCGATCAACCGGGATCTCCGAGCCCGAAGCGGGGATGACGCGGTAGCTCTGCGCTAACACGGGTGATTAGCAACGGTAGGGTCCTCGGTTCGATCCCGGCCCTCGTCCCGCAGATTTTCTCGTTGAGGGATATTTTAATAATTCAGCGCTTGAAGGGGTTTAACGCCCCTTGGATTAAGTGTTTAATCACGATTAAGCACATGAATTTCAAGGAAGTGTTAGAAACATTATGCTGACATTCAACCTGACGGTTGAAAAACGTTCCCATAAAAGGGCAAACTTAAAAAATAGTTGTACACTATGTGGGATGACGCGTAGCTCCGCGCTAACATCAGCGATTAGCAATGGTAGGTAGGGTCCTCGGTTCGATCCCGGCCCTCGTCCCGCAGATTTGCTCGTTAAGGAAAATTTTCATAATTCAGCGCTCGAAGGGGTTTAACGCCTAGTGGATTAAGTGTTTACTCACACGAATTTCGAGGAATTTTTAGAAATATCACGCTGATGTAACACAACGGTTGAAAGGCGCTCCCACAAAAGGGTGAACTTAAAGGAAAAAAAAAGGAAATCTCCATACCCGAGCGAACCGTTTCTCGCTCCGTTTCGCACGCAACTCGCAACGCGCGCGGTGCGTGTGACACAAGAGAGAGAGAGAGGGGGGGGGAAGAGAGAGACGGCTGATCGAGAGATTATCGGCTAGGAATTATCGAGGATGCGGGGAAATTTAACGTAATGGCTCCGACGTGACGCTAAGAAGTTGAACGCGGGCGATTTGGAGAGCCGCGCGCTCGCGTCGTGGCCGGCAGTCGCGATCGCTTGATGGATATTGATGACATTCCGCAGGTTCCCGCGAACATGTAGAAACGAGCGCGCCATGGCGCGCCCGTTTAAAAAGAACTAGCGCGGTTAATTGAACTGTGAGCGATGCGCTAATTACCGCAACTGTTGGCCGATATCCGCGCGGCCCAATATTCCTCCCGGTGATTTTGATCGATTATTCGCGCTTATATCTACAGCTTGAGCGCGAGAGAGCCCATTACAGATGTTGAGTCGAGCAAGATGTATCGAGATCGAATGTAACTTTCGTTATCGCGCCGACTTGCAGCGTATATACGAATAAATAAAGCGGATGATTTGCAAGTATCGCTGATAAGATCCAAGTCGGAATTGCGCGCGCTCGTTTACACGCCTTATCGTTCCGAGTTTAGCGGACTCATCCCCGGATCGCGAACGCCGCATAATGCGTTTACTTATACGTTTAAGGACGCTCCGCGAAAAAAAAAGGCGCGGGGAATAGCCGCCGGCGCTTCGTTTCCATTTCAAATTAGCTCTCGATTCGCAAGAAAGCTCGACGACCGCTTAATCGGGTTTGGAATAGATCCGATTCGTCGGATATATAACGTCGCGCTAATTAAAACCAGACGAACGTATCCCAGTTGGAACGCCGAACTCTGACGTATAATTCGTTCTACCGCAGCGCGGGCAATTAACTGTAGCTTATTGATCAGGCATGAATGACGAGCCGTGGATAATCGCAGATAGCATGCGCAAGAAAGGCACGTGGTAAAAGGAAATCCGGGCAGAAACAAGATTCGTGCGCACTCCGGCCGGGCGTGAGCCGCGCGCTGCGCGGCGCGCAGGCCGGCAAAAAGCGGCGACAGCCCGCTCGTAATTAAAAATGTATCCGTCGGCACAAAAATGCCGATCCGTTGTTCTGGGCATCGCTCGACAGGCATATCTCCGCATAAATGACGAGTGCCCAGTCGATCGCCAGTCATCAATATCTACCGGCGGATATCGGATGCTGTTGCGATCATTAACACGTTGTTGACGACGCGATCGCCTGCCAGTCACCGTTACGTTTTCAGTCCCATATAAATTGACACGTGGTACTAGACTACGCGGGGCTAAGTTTATTATTTTTGTTTCTGGTACAATGTCCATTTGAGGGAGGTATACAGGAGGCTCGAAGAAAGTGTTCGTACATAGAGAGAACTTTCTCTTAAAATTTATCCTGAAAATCGTGCAATCGTGGGACAACGCGACACTCGAAGAAATTTTACCATACATTTTACTAGTAAATTGTGAGACAACATGGCATCTTCAAGAACTTTATGAGAGTTTCTTGAAATTTTTACTATACATTTTACTAGCAAATTGTGAGTCAACATGGCATCTTGAAGAACTTTATGAGGTTTCTAAAATTTTACTAGTAATTGTACTCGTAAAATGTATGACAAATTTAAAAAACTCTCAAACAATTCTTCAAAATGCCATGTTGCCCCACGATTACATGATTTTCAGGGTTAAGATAAAATTCTCTCCGTGTATTTTATAAAAATCGTCGATGTCAATGTCGGGCGATATAAGTAATTGTTGGGACAACAAAATTTATATTATACAAATCATCACTTTGTTAAAAGGTACTTAATAAAGCATTCAATAATTAAGATATCTAGTTATATTTTAAGTAGAATTAAAGGAAAATGACAACTTGTAACTCAAGGTCTTTTACAAATTAAGTAGAAAAAGTTTTTTCAATTTATGATCAGTTTATCTCATAATTTGCATATAGAATAATACTTTTAATTTCATATTCTGCGTCACGATAAGTGCACCTCGAGATCGAGTATTTCTATTCAGCAGGCCTTCATTATTCAAAATTTCTTATGTGCCTTTAAACTTTTTTCTCGATTCTGGTATTGAATAAGTTGAGTCTTTTAATGTGACAAGTAGAAAGATAGAATACGATAATGATCATGATTTTCCTGGATAATGAGGGATTTTAACATCGCCGGTAGTCCGTTTTCCTCCTCCCCTTTAAGCTCGAGCGGGTCGATATAAATTACCTCGGATAGTCTAAGAAGAAATCTGCCGATCATGATTCTTAGCTCAGAAACATCTGGGTATCACGCACAGTTACATTAATTAAGGCTGAATGAGTAGACTCCAGGTAAATAACCAATCTCCATTGAAAGTACGGTACGGTGATTGACGCATACCTCGAAAATTATCGATGAAGCCTCGTTCCGCTTCATTTCCGTCGCTTCCCGACACATTAGCGTCCTAATTGGACGCTCCTCCGCGATTTTTCAAGTTGCACGCTACCGACAGTTTCTTACGGCGAAGGTAAAATTCTCTGTTTCACATAAATAATTTCCCTTCAACTTCCCGCCGCATGGATAAAAAATATTACAAGCGCTCGTCATGAACAAAACTTTTATAAACAAGTAAGCGGTCTACTCACGAGCCATTAAAAGATATCGCTAGGTTTCCAAAGTTTGTTCGGCAATGCGAAACGCGTTGTACGTTTCGACCTAACTTGGCCATCTTTCAGTAACACATTATTAAAAGAAACGAAAGAAGGAATTCATATCCAATTATCTTAAATTTACAATCGAAAATTCTTAATATTCTAACAACACCGAAACGGAAACAACCCTTGAGTGTTTTTATCCGTAAAGGAAGGAGCCCGTAACTTAAGTCAACAGGCACATGATACTATTTACCCTACTGGATTGCTTACGAGAGCCAATCAGGATTTAGCCTGAAGTCACCTGATCTGAAAACTCTGCACTCCTTATTGGTTCACGTAAACAATTCAGTAGGAAAAATAGTATCGTGTGCCGTTGGCTTTAAACGATTCTACGGCATTAAAGTTCTTTTAATTCGGAAGTATCGCAATCCGTGACTTTCGTACGGGCAACGTGGCAGCGTCTTCAATTTTTGACCAAACCACGTGTTCGACGGATCACGGCAAATCAAAAGTTAAATACACGCGATTTGATAAGGTACATAGAAATGTTTTTCAGCGGGAGAAAGACGTTTCTTATACACCGGAGGTTAAATATCCCGCTTAAACTTTGTACCTGCTTGACGACCGGCATTTCCGTAAGGCTCTCCACCTCCGCCGTGATATGCGCGGATCTATTCGAGAAGCGGAGGAAGGATTTGAATCTCACGGAAGTCAAGGCGCGAGTTAATTTGTCACTCTCTCGGCTCTCGTACACAATTTCCTTTCCTCGGGGCCCTACGAACATCTTCCTCATTATCTTCGGAATGAACGACCGTTAACAGGGACGTTTGACGTCGGTTAGGCCTAAGAGTGAGGCAAACGTGCGGATTGTAATCGTAGAAACGGTACTTCTCTTCTAGGTATCGGAGAAACGAGGAAGCGAAACACGATACTTAAATAAATGCATTACAAAGGTGTTGATTTTAGAAAGTAACATTTTGCGCGCGGATGATTATTTCCGGGAACTATGAAGAGGATAATTTCTAACTTCTCCATTTCCTTCGGCGAACGAAAATCCGCCCGTTTTCGACTGTCGTTCGCGATAAGGGGTTCCTCAACGCATTGCGTATAAGCTCGATTTATACCAACTTTCACGTGCAATTCGATGCATTAATTATTTGAAAATGATCCCCCCCCCCTCTCTCTCTCTCTCTCTCTTTCTCTCTCTCCCTCCGAGTAAATAAACGACATTGTTCTCGTATCCGACCTGCCAAACTTTCTAATCCGCAAAAATGAACGAGACTGTTCCATCAATGTCGCGTAACGCGGATTCGCAGCGGTTTTGCCAGGGATCCGGCGGTAATAAAAACGTATTGAGACCGTTGTATGCGTTGGTAGAACGTAAAACGATGTACGGCGCGTACATCGCGGCGCGGGATAAAAATTTTCGGTGGTCCCAGATGCGGCCGGCCGATCGAACTTTAACGTCGTTTGCAAGCGGCTTCTCTCGGACGGTCGACCGGGCTGCCGCGTTCTCACGTTCCATTGCAAAACTGTCGAAACTGTCGAATCGCGGACAAAGGGTGTATAATACGAAAGTTACAAACAGAGGTGGAGGACAGAGGGAGAGCGAACGAGGGAGAGGGAGAGACAGTGAGGAGGGGGGGGGGGGCGAGGAAAGAGATAGATGTGTCGGCGCGAGCATGAGCATGCGAGCCGCGATATGAGTACCGATGCAAGTTCTTGGAGCGTATAATATTCCACGTGCGAGTTGTCACTTCGTGACCGCATTTCAGTGACTAATGAGCGCTTTCGAAAGCACGTTAGGTACTGTCAGATACACGGCTGCTGTGCAATGCCGTGGCGAGCTTCTGTGAGGGGATCGTGATATACACACGCGTATACATACACTCGCGCGAGTGCGCGCGTGTACGCGCGCGGCCGTTATATCGTACATGGACCTATCGAAGAGACGATAGACGCGAAAACCCGGATTAGGGCGTGGTGAACGAGCCACTCGTCTTGAATGAAAAAATAATGCGGGAAATAGATCCGGGCCGGTACGATCGGTTGAGAGCTATCGGCAAATTTGTGACTATTAAAACTCGAGGTACTTCAAAACCGGTGTACACTGATAATTTCCGCGATATTTCGAAATAATCGTTAATGTTTTCTTTTATTTTACATGCAATGTCCGTCATGATCTTTTAACCCTTTGAGGCGCGGTGAAACCTATACAGGGTGTCCCAGGAGGAGAGGTCAATAATCTGGGAGGTGATAGTATCGGTTATTTTAAGCAAAACTGTTCATATGAATATATGTCCCATTCCCCACTGTTTCCGAGATAGAGCTATTTGAATGTACAGTTGCGAAATTACTGACAAGAAAGAAATACGTACTGTTTCTAATATTTATTGTTCAAGTGATACATTTTTTACACATCATAATAAATTTACAAAAATTCCACCGTTAACGACCATGCATTTTTCAACTCTTGTGTGAACATGGCGTGTTGCCCGTTCGACATTTATGAATATGCGAGGCATTTTGAACGTTTCTACAATGTTATCAGCACAACAGTCAACAGACGTATAAGAGTAAATTCCCGCAGACGTTTATGTGGTTGAATAAAATTGCAAAAAATGCAATCGAAAAATGCAATTATCTGGAACTCGGTACTCGGTACGGAAATTTTTCAGGTTGCTGATTACACATCAAGTTAAATGTACAAAATGCATAATGGCGGGTCCAACATGGCGCCTGAATATCTGCATTTGAATTTTGTCATTCTAACATCAGAATCGTAATCAGCGATCCCAAAAAACCCTTGAGTATTAAGTTTCAGAAAACTCGGCTGAAAGGAAAAATGTGTACCGCAAAGGGTTAAGTGTATATAATATCAATGTACGATTATTACCTTTGCTACTTACCGTAGACAATATATTTTGTTGTTACTAAAACGTTGACTCAGTTGCTGAAATGCATCGGAAGATGTAGGATTATACAAGGATCAGGATTTACTAGAATAATTGGTACATAGAGAACAAGTGATGTGTTTTTTTTACAAAATACAAGAAGGGAACGTTTAATATATATTTACATATATGAACAACGTATTTAGCATTTCGGCTAAGACTGTTGTTACAGTACTGTATACAGAGAAAATACAGAGTACAGTGTGTTAGCGTAATAAACGAAAATGTGGTGTAAGTGTACAGTATTAAAATCATACACAATACTTTGGACGCAATCGGTTGGCCGCTCGAAACGCGAGCCAGGAGTTATTGTTGCAGTGACGAAGAGGCATGATCATTGGTTTGCAGTATTAAGTGAAATGCAATGAAATAATTGTGAAGTACAGAAAAATATTTTAACCCAAAAATTACACTCGCCTATACGATTCAACGAAAGTTTCATGTAAAAGTTGCTAGCATTTTTTGGCTTGAACAATCGTACTTTACAGTTTAGTAAAAATTGAATTGCGATTTTATATTCTGTGATATCGGAAAATTCTCATTCGAGCAAAAAATTCATTGAAAAATGTACAATATATTTCTTTTTGCCAGAGTTAGATATAAAAATGTTCGGTTGGTTTTCCCAAAGACCTAGTATGTAATTTACAAAAGTGTAGTGTATAATCTTACAGTATTTACATACATATAAAATTGTGGAGATAAGAGTTTTGTGATTTAATGATTTTTCCATTAAAAATTTCAACAAGACATTATTTCTTTGGAACATTACCCGAAAGGATTTTTATCCTCATTTTAAAAACATCGCCGAAAGATGAAAAACGCTCGATATTGAGAAATGAAATTTTCCGTTAATATCATGCAAATCAATGACCAATTTCTCTGTACGATAATTGGAAGCCAATCGGTTTTAGTAATAAATTGCAAATAAAAAAGTATTGCATGTGATGATTTAACGTGGTACATAAAAGCGCATTAAAGGATTATTTAATTATTTATATTGTGTAATTCACAGAACAGTAGACATAAATTTTTAATTCACAGAACAGTATACATAAATTTTTAATTCACGCCAGTGTTTTCCAGATATTACGTTGTTACGCAAATACATTTATAATAAGTATCAAACAGTCGATCGAAGAGTACCGTGAAAAAAATAATAAAATACAAAAGCACTCGCGGGTAGTAGAAATCTGTGTGTGATAATTAATTATAAAACCGAATATATAAGAGCGTTAATAAATCCGTTATTCCTGAGTGTATAATGTATTATAATAAAAATTAATGCAATACGAAAATTATAATTATAACAATCACTGAAAACAGTTGTTACGGTACTTAAGAAACTATTATAATGGCGAAAGTCCAATGTTGTAGAAATCCAGATTATATTACCACTTTGTAAAGTCTCTTCGATCAAATACTTATTTCCCCTAAAGCTTAATATCCAATAGCTTATTTTGCAATAAAACAATTGCAGATAAATAATTTTAATTAGCCAATCGTCTCATTCATCAATGGAAATAGCGATCAACTTCGATTGACATATGATATCCTAACGTTAATTATACAAATCATGCATAAGGCATTAATTAATATCAATATCGTACCGTTATTGTGCTTGTTTGCTTAATCCCTAGATTCTGATTTCCATTCTATCAGACTTGTATTGAGACATCGTTTCTGTAATGTCGGAGAGTCTAGTGACGAATCAAATTATAGTGCCACAAGTTAAACTAAGATTACTCCATCTCAGAATTAATTTTGCACTATAAAAAGTATCTTTCGGATTCCTCCGATATATCTAAAACGTGTAACCAAACTAAACCAGTTTCTTCTCGCTGCAGACATTTAAACTGAAAATATTCACTGCCTCTAATAATAATGCGCAGTTAATTCTGGGGAAATAATCTCATTCAAATCTAGCGCGTTTCCATTTAGCACTGTCTCTTCACCTCTCTATGTTCCGAAAAATATTAATCATTTATCCCGCTCGAATGCCAACGGGATTCGATTCTCTTAAAGGATATACAATATATAATAATTGACTTTCTCTGGGACGTAAAGAAAAAGAAATAATAACTTTAGCGTGTCCTGCAAACGTCAACCCGTGTAAACATCTTGCCGTAGCACCATGGATATCGTATATCGACACTTACAACCCCAAGACCAAATCTTCCCGCACAGACAATCGACACGCAACCGTGTCCTTTATAGTTAGCAAAAGAAATCTTACACCTAGTGAGTCTCGGAAAAACACCAGTTACTACGATAATTTCTTAAATTTCCTGGGGACAGACGCGGCGCGGCACATGGCGCGCAGGGTATCGTTCTAAATGGGGAATCTTTACAACCTGGAAGTAACAATAAGTGCAATCTTATGTACAATCGTTCCACACCACTGCCATAGATTTGTTCAGTGCGATGTCTGCGCTCTACAATTTCGAAACTGCGTCCTTACAAGGTTTTATAACCCGCGCGGTCAAACCGACCGATGATTTTGATTATCCCACTGGGGCGCTCACTGCGGGCTTCACTCACGGGGATCAACGCGGGCGCGCGTTCGCTTCATTTTCACGGCTAGGGTGAAAAACGCGAGGTCCTCACGCGTGAAACAGCAATCGTCTGTCCCGGGATCACACATCCTGTCAAACATGGTCGCCCCAAACTGTCACCGTCTTGGCACGATCGACAGACGCTAGATACGTGCCGTGCGGATGCCAAGACACGGCCGCCACTGCTGCCCTGTACATGTTTAAATGTCAAACGTGGATTAATCATCGCTGAAGCATTCTTACCTTCATATTCTTCCATTCTTTTAACGCATTAAACAGTGATTTCTTTATTTTTATATGGAAAGAATTTTCTGTTAAAATTTATCCTGAAAATGAATGTATTCTTCCAATCTTTTAACGCATTAAACAAAATGAATGAATTCTTCCAATCTTTTAACGCATTAAACAGTGATTTCTTTATTTTTACACGGAAAGAATTTTTTGTTAAAATTTATCCTGAAAATTAATGTAATCGTGGAACAACACGACACTTTGAAGAACTTTATGAGAATTTGTAAAATTTTATCATACATTTTACTAACAAAATGTATACTAAGTTTAATTACTAGTGCAATGCATGGTAAAATTTCAAAAAGCTCTAATAACATTCTTCGAAATGCCATGTTGTCTCACGATCATACGATTTTCAGGATAAATTTTAAGAGAGAATTCTCTCGGTGTAGTTTTCTCTATACTAAAATTCCATCAAAGAAAATCGCAATAGTAAAATCATCATTTTTTTTAATACGGATATCGACAACTCAAGAATTCTATCAAATTCACAAGTGGTAGAATTATTATTTGTATACGCAGTAGTAGTAGAATTGCCAGTGATCTCTTAAACATTTTATTTTGGCACACGCTTTTAATCGTAAAATTATAGACGGGTTGGAAAGTTAAATGTACATAAAGAAACAGCTGGTATTAGCCTCGAAAACTTTGAAGAAGTGAAAAAATTGAAATAGATGCTTAATATAAACGATATCGAATAGATGAGATAAACTGAAAGGAATTTATCAATATCGAATATCTCCCAGCGAAGGAGATATTTTTCATTCAAACGAGATAAAATTCGTTTTCATATCGTCCGAAAAATAAAACGGTTTCGAGATTTGTGCAATGCAACCAAATTAATTTTATTATTTGCGTCATTTCTAACTCGTCGATTGCTGCAAATACGTCACAATTATGACTATTTAGTTGTTGCGTACTGCAAATATGCACATTGACTTAGTGCATATGAAATTGTAAATTTAATTAGCATGATTGAGTGTTATTGACCCCCGCGGCTTTGCCCAATAGATATGCAGGGAGGAAAAGGGGGAAAGAAGAAATTGTAAGCCAATAGTCCGATTCGCGCGAACGGATTTACGAAAACGTGAATCGGTGCATAGAGCAGCGAGCTTTAAACAGTTACATCCAAAAGCTTTCACAGGCAGCTTTTTCCATTTTCGCCTCCTAACTTTCTCCTGGCGAATCTAATTTCCTTAAAGGGCGACCCGGAATTATTTCGCCGCGCGCGAGGGTCTTTCAATTATTTCGCCATCTTCAACGGAAACGCATCATACAGCGCAAAGGGCGAACAGGAAAACACTCGGGAATGTCGTGTGTCACACACGTACGACGAACTTTTCAACTTTATGCAATTTAATTCCTCGTCTTTTCTCCTCTGAGGAGCGCCGTAATGTGAGAGACATGAAATGGAAACCGGCACGATCGCGGTAATAAACAGCGAACGGGTCAAATATAAATACGATTCGCGTGTAGTGGCTTTATACGTGTAGGAAAATTCGCGACCGCTGAAATCGTTTCATTAAAGATTCCATTTGAACATGACGGAACACAGTGCTACGTAATTTTGTGGCCTGTGCGGCTGTTTGTGCACACAGAAAGGTCTATTAAACCTGAACTCCCGCCGGTAATTCGTAGGGCTTGACGAAATCGTAAAAGGGTGTTTTCTACGCGAGGACAAACATGCTGAAAATGGCAGGCCTCCTGTCGGTCTCCAGCAAGACTGTTGAACAATCCCTCGCGAAACGTGTATACGAATTAAGGAATTATTTCGCGCCGGGGCAAAGGCCGGGTAAGGAGGCACCCTGGAGGAGAGGAATCAGCTATAAACCTATAATTACAGTTTTTACGAGCATTCCTAAGCGAAAAAGTCCAAATGCCCGAGAGAGAGAGCCCGTTAAAACTGCAGAATACATTTTACAAAATGCAATCAAGCCGTACGCTTTATTTTGTTACCTTAGTTCTTCGAATTCTAGTGTCACACGATCTTTTTAAAGATATTTCTTATGGATTAAAAATTTCCTCGTAAAGCGAAATGCCCTATAGGCACTCCGTTACAGCATAATAAAACAATAATCTCCTCGAAGTTTTTTCGCACGTGTTTTTTTCGTTTTGTTATCTTATTTCTCCGAATTCTAGTGTCACGCGATCTTTTTAAAGATATTCCTTATGGATTAAACATTTTCCCATGAAGCGAAATTTTCTAGACACTTTGTTATAGTGTAATAAAATAATAATCTCGTCTCTTCGACGCGTTTCTTTGTTTTAAAAAGTATAATATTGATCCGCCAGCAAATATTAAATTGAAGGGTGAATAAGTCGACACCACTGGCAACAGGAAAACCTCCTTTATTAGCACAACGTTTCTATAAATATAAGGGCCAGAACCCATGGCCGAAACGTTGTGCTAATAAAGGAGGTTTTCCTGTTGCCAGTGGTGTTGACTTATTCACCCTTCAATTTTTTTGTTTTGTTACCTTAGTTCTGCGAATTGCAGTGTCACGCAATCTTTTTAAAGGTATTTCTTATGGATTAAAAATTTCCCCATAAAGCGAAATTCCCTAGGCGCTCCGTTACAGCGTGATAAAGCAATAATCTCGTTGAATCTCTTTTCGCACGCGCTTTTTGTTAGTGCTCTATAAAAAAAGTAATTCGATAACTGCATTCGGCAATGCAATAAATCTGCAGTAACAATACAACGAGCCGAGAAATCCTAGATACTCGCTTTTACATTTGCTTGTAATTCTATGAATAACAAAGCGTATTCAGTGGGAATAGGCGGATAGATGGCAATCGAATTGAACGACTGACATTCACTCGCGAATGGCTCATATATGAGATTGCCGATTGCCGCTGTTGTTTCCGGTGAATCGACTCACTTCCGAATTCTTTGTGAGAAACCGACCAACGTCCATCAGTTCCTCATCATGTAATCGATACATTGATTATTACAGTGTGACGAAAGAGACAATCTGATATTCCGCCGTCATTGTTTAATCAGTGCCGACGTAATGAGAGAGAATACGTGATAGTTCGCTGTCATTGTTTGGAGAGCCAGCCTGGAAATTAAACGTATCGTTTACCCAGCTTTCCGGCCGTGCGTTAATGAAGCTTTATAATCTGTAGTGCATATAACAAGTTTGTTCACGACGAAACGAGCCCCCCCCCCCCTCCCCCGAATAGGGTAGTTACATCTTATATTGCGTTTTTGCGACTAATACGAGGATAAATCCAGCGTAATCAAGCGCAGCCGGACCTTCATTCGACCCGGCAGAAGTAACTCGCAGATTGCATTCAGGAGTGGAATCGTGTCATTCGATGCAACGTGCTAAGCGGGCGAAATATGCAGAAACACGGTTAAGCCGTAAAAAGCGGCGACGTATCGTTCTGTCACGGTTTGACTGGCGCGGTTTATTCCCGCGCGAGGTTTGCTGCCGCGTCGGGAAAAGCGGGGCGGTGAGACAACGGCGCAGGGGGCGAGAAAAAGTTGCCCCACGAGTGCGTCGCGACGACCGCCCGTCGCGTCGAGTGCGCCGTCGTCGCCGTCGTCGCCATCGTCGCCGTCGCGGGCGTCGTCGCTTAGCGGGAACGATATTTCTAAAAGCAGCGTGCCTCGTATCCGGGATACCTTTGCGAGTAGCAGCTACCTTGGTGGTGTATATTGCGAGCGTGATAAAGGAGACCTATCCGTTCTTGCCGAAGGAGCTTGGAAATAAGCTTTCGCGAACGATGTTTCCACTCTCTTCCTGCGCCACTTTCGCCTCCTCCTCCGCCCCCTCGCAGCCCCTCCGCCCTGCCGTTCCATTCCGCCCACTCATTTTTTTCATCCAGCCGCAAAGCTAACGCGGAAGACAGATGGAAAGAGATCGAGGACGAGAGAGAAAGGGATTTTTATGAGGGAGGGAGAACGTAGGAGTGTATGAGAAAGTGGATGGGCTGCGCGAGATGGACGTGGCGAGAGATGGACGCGGAACGTTACGAGTCTTTGAAACGTACGCCGCGCGGGAGCATTTTTGCCCACCGTTCTTGCAAATGACAGAGTTAACATAGAACCGCCGGTGGAGCCTCATATTCTGTCGACGCGGGTTGAAGGGAGGAAGAGATTAGAAAGGATAGTAAAACGTTCCTGGGAAAGACGAGGGGAAGGACAGAGCCCACGGAGAGCGAGAGCGTGCGGGAGAGAAGCGAAGAAATAAAGAGGGAGCGAGGGGGAGGGGGAAAAGATAGAGTGGTTGTGGATTTTAGACCTTAACCCGAGGCGATGGATTATGCGAAACGTAAGAGGATAGCGAAAAGGCGTCGGGAAGAGGGAAAAAGGCCGAAGGGGACGAGAGAAGGCGGAAGAGGAGGAGGTATCATTTAACGGAAGAAAAGCAATACAGAGAACCGCCGCCCGCACCGCCGTAAAGGTGCAGCTCGTTTGTCGTCGGACGCTGGGAATAATTAAAATAATTATCCCTCGTTGTGGGCGCGTAATCAGATCGCGGCGATCTCGCCGATAATGAAATCGGGCTGAGATCTCCCGCGGAATTCTACCTTCGAGACTTCCAGGTGTGACATACTCGAGAACATCTTGAGATATCCCACATCAACGTCCGTCGATTCGATTTTATTTTTCATTCCTTGTTAATCGTATCAAAGACGACTAAAATATTAATATTTCATTAATGAAGACGTTATGCATTGTAAAATAATACGTATAGTTATATCGCACGTTTCTAAACAAAACAAAAAGTCATATGATCATTTCATATTTTTAATGAAACATAATTTGACTTTTTCACGACTATATTTGGACTCTTCGATGACTTTCGCCGAGAGAACGCAAATCTAGCTAGTGCATACAAAATGATTATAAATCGGATATTGTTATATTTTACGAGTTTGGGAAAAAATTTT